CCTCCTTGACAGCAGTAGGAAATTAAAGAAAACTACGACTGCAAAGGCAATGGCAACGTCAACAAACAAAAGGTTTCATCAGCAGAACAATGGCTCTACACGAGCGTTATAAATCTTTGTAAATTTAATTCTTTGCGCTCTCTGCATTACAGCAACGTGAAATGACCAAGCTTTGCGCTGTCTGGAGAACGTGAACGTCGACGGCTGATTTTTTAAATGTCTTTTTCTTGTTTAACAGTGTGTTCCAATTTCAGTGTCGAGATAGTTTCGAGAAACAAACGAAATGCCTTTAGAGTATCACGAGACTCGTAGGTAAAATAGAAATATATTTTTTAAGTGACGTTATCCACGGCGTCGCTGTTGTCCTTTCTTAAACTCCCTGGTGCGCGACGGGAACTACACGAATATCACGATAAAGACTATACTAGTAATGCCAAATAAAATGGTTTTATCGAAATTTAAAAGATTGCCTTTTTTTCTCACTAATATACTAAATCTACTGAACCCAGCAGACAAAGACAATTTATCTTCAGCGAGGCGGTAAACATACGACTTGACAAGCAGATCAGCGCCCAGACAATGTTTCTTTTAATTTACAAGGACAGTCGGCGGATAAAACATACAAAGACGACTCTTTTTATAAAAAAAAGTATAACCTCTTAATTACTAAATGTAGTACAAAACCCAGCACAGCAAGAAAAAAATATGTACGACAGTCAACATATTATTTTCCACATAAATTATTATTTTCTTCAAAAATAATACTCGTTAAAATAATTTTGAAAAAATGCCAGGTGAAGTTGCCAGTTAGCAAAGAAAAAGGTACTTTCCAGGTTTCGCAGAAAGTCGTTTTATTCCGAATTTACCTTACTTGTCTAACAAAAACAAAAAGTAAGACTCTACTAAACCAGCAATGGACTCCTGGCTAGACTCTTCGTGGTTACTGCCGATAACGCCAGCAAGCAAAACATGGCGGGAAAATGAGGGAAAAAGTGTAGGCTCTCTCTTGCTATCTCTTCCCAGACCTCCGACACAGTTTGGTCGCCCACTTCATCGATCGACTGACCGAGAATCTGGCGATAGCCGGATGTATCATGGTTCTAGGGACGGGATTAGGGATAATAGCTTGGGATTTCGTTGGTTTCAAAATCACAAATTAACAGTAATCTATTGTTTGTCCATTCAAGGTTCGATTTCAATGGTTTCCGCCACTGGATCAGTAGCATTTATTACAGTCAGTTCCCGGACTCCTGAAATTTCTCGTTTCTCCCTATTTCTCATCACACGCTTGGAACTGCGTAGAAAATCAAATTGAAAAGTTAATTCATCCTGAATCACTGATGAGTGAGTCAGGAAGGTAAGGATTCCCGAGATGACTTTCAGCAACCCTCGCATAGCAAGCGCTCGATCAACCTCATTCCCATGCAGGGTCTTTCTGGGGGAAGGTAGAGGCACCCTGGGAACGATCTCAGTGCAGTCTCATTGGCGCTTGATTAAACCAAATGCCACTGATTCAGAACGGCGTCCGCGAGGAAGAGGGCGCGCGCGAGTACAAGAGGAAGTGCTTGCCAAAAAGGTCATGCGATTTTGGGATGAAAACCCATGGTCTTTGCTTATTATGAAGAGAACTCAAGAATGAAGTTTAAGGAAACTTACTGTACTGAAAAAGAAAATGCTATCAACATCCCATCGGTAATTCTCCTTTCTGTCTGCCATACAATTGTTATGATGTATGTTGGGAGAATTTGGTACTGGATTAACTTCCAATTCCCATTTTTGATATTTTTCTTTATTCTTACCACTTTTCTTCTTGATATCGTATTGACATTGTAAGGGGAAGTTCTATTTTAGTCATTCAAAGGAGTTAATGGCCTAAAGCGAGAGGGATTTTTCGTAAACAGAGGGTTCCTTAAAATGAATTGGAAAGAAACTCTATAGTTTACAACAAATGGGAAACAAACACGAAAAAAGTGGTGTTTGAAAGTCCTTCTAAGCGCTATGCAAGGACAAAAAGAGGCAAATACTTGTTAGTCAAGCTATTTCTAACAAGCTAACACAATTGTACGGCTCGTTTAATCAAGCTTAAGTTATTACCACTAAGTTACTGGTTAGAATATCTTCACTTAGTTTTCTTTTTTAAGTGCCTTCATGGACTTATAGATTTCACTCGTGAATTTAGTTATTATTTTTCTTGTCTAAAGGGCAACGCGCGCTGTGCTTCATCAGGGCTGCATTTAAAGTTAAATGCCTATCGTACGTCTTCCTTTCGAGACTTTTACTTCAACAGAATAACTTTGATGTGTAGCAGTTTACCTAAAAATATCAAGGATTCAGAAACTTTAACCTCTTTCAAAAGTAAGCTCAGGTCGTTTTATTTTACCAGACTTTTGAATGCTTTTGATGGTGACAATTTTCGTTCTTTCAAATTAATTTGTCCTAAGTGACGCCGTGTAAATACTTCTGTCTGTACTTGTTAAGTTAAGTTAAGTTATCATTAAATATATCTTATTAACCAAGCGCGAGGGCCGTACTGGGAGAATATCGGCCCGAGGTCTTGACAGTACGGACCGAGCGCAGCGAGGTCCGTACAAAAAAGACCGAGGGCCGATATTCTTCCAGTACGGTCCCGAGCAAGCTTGGTTAATAAGAGATTTATTATACGACTGAAGTTCAAAGGGACACAAGTGCGGTATCATTCGGGACCATTCGGGACAGTGCCCGGTCCAATACTTAGAGAATATTGGACCGGCAATAGAGCATTTTGATTGGTTGATTTTAGTTATTGGCCCTCTGACTGCCCGAGTCGTGTAATAATACGGAATACTAGTGTCATTAGGAGCTTGCTTTGCGAGAATAGATGGTCATCTATTTATTCCAAAAAGGTACTTTAAAAGAATACTATACTTACATTACTCCGACAAGTAAAAGGACGATGGAAAGTAGCACAAATGCTACGGAAACTCCAAAGACAACCCAGCCCCAGTACGAGCTTGAAGCAGCTTCTGAAGGTAAACTTGTGGGGACTAGTAAAAATAAGTAACAACAAAATAAAATTAAACACACTTACTGTAAGTTTGTATTTTTGAGGAACATCATCTCTTACCAAGGACCTAGCTGGGAGGGTGAGGGGTCCCAAAGTTTATTATCAGTTTGGCGCAGACTGTTAGCGACATTTCACAGTCAAAGTTGTACAGCCATCGTTTTTATACCCTTATGCAAGTCAAATGGTTACCTTCTTTACATGTCAGACCATCGCTTTCCAGTTGGTGTCCCGTTCGGCAAGCACACGCATAACTGCCCAAAGTATTGACGCAAATATGCGCACATTTATGTTTGTGAGTCGTGCTATTACATTCGTTTATTTATGCAAGAATCAAAATATTTGCGTTAGCGGTGTGAGTTGGGTAACTGTTTTATAAAATCATTCGGGTTGCCAACCTTCAGCTGGTATCCAATTAACACTGACAAATACCGTATAAGATGATAAACTCTTGGAAGCGGCTTAAAGGAGCGAGAAAACACCAAAGGAAAAAATAAGGGAGACGGAAGGAGGAGAAGGAAAAGGAAGGGGAACAATAACTTCTAAAAAAAAAAGCGAAGGAAGAGAACACTGACAGTAGCAAAAGAAATATATGTGTATTAAAAACTACTGATTTGGCTACGGTAATACTTTGAAGAGCGGTACTGGGCTCGTTTCCTTCACTTGCCCGTGTCTCGCCCCTTGCCTCATCCACGCAGTTGCGCAGATGAGAGATGAAGCGAACCCACTGACGCGATATGCCTACCAGAGCGGGCAAAATGGGTTTACCCTTTTCGCTTGAGGATTAGTTGCTTCATTGTAGTAAAATATTTAGGCCACGTAATTCTATTCCGACGACAAAGCTTGCTCAGTGTAATGGCTGGATTTTAGCCGCTGTTGAGCCCGCGTTCTACCTATCCTTCTTGGAAGGATCGAGGACCTTTATCGAGCAAACATCGGAAATCGAGCCTAGCTATGAACTGGTTTATTTTGTTTGAATTATTGTGTGGCAAGTTCAGAAAAAAATGGAAAATAACTTACCCGTTGGCACTGAGGCACTTAAAACAGGAGATGCACGGGTGGGCGAAACAGCCATTGGTTTTACTGTACCGGTTTGATCAGCGACTTTACTGGTTTGACCACTAATTGTACTGGTTTGACCACTGATTGTATTGGTTTGACCAGTGACAATGCTGGTTCGACCAGTGATTGGATTAGTGACCAAAATGCCTTGACCATTGACTGTTCTGCTTTGACTACTGACTGTAAAGGTTTGACTGATAATACTGGTTTGACCAGTGACAATACTGGTTTGACTAGTGACAATATTGGTTTGACTAGTGACAACACTGGTTTGACCAAGGACTGGACTGGTTTGATCAGTGACTGTAGTGGTTTTGTCACTGACTGTACTGGTTTGACCAATAACAATACTGGTTTGACTAATAACAATACTGGTTTGACTAATAACAATAATGGTTTGACCAGTAACAACACTAGTTTGAACAGTGACGGTATTAGTTTGACCAACTGAGGAGGTCTTGTGGCCACTAACAGACCGGGGAGATGTATCCGGCCCAGTACTTGTAGAGATCAGAAGAGAAACTGAAGATGAGGACTGTTTAGTATTAGCAGAGGTCATAACTGAGCCAGACGAGGAAACTTGCGTTGTTGAGGCTTGATTTGAACTGCTCGCAGTAGTGAAAGGAGTAACAGTTGTTGTTGTCGACGGATGGACATGTAACAAGAGAGCTGAGAAAAAAATGAAGTCACAAAATATTCGGTCACCATCGGAAAAAAGAAAAAAAAAACCGCTAAAAAGGAAGGATTGCTCGCAGTCTATCGCCGCCCCGTCGACATCTCGTTCATATATACGGAATGCAATATAAACAGACGTGAATATTTACTATCGCCGAAAAACAGATTGATTGCTAAATGCCAAACTTCCTTGGGGAAACGGAAATGAAGTGTACAGAAATGAACCTAGGTATGTACTTCCAGGGTCGCTCCTATGTTTCAAGAATTTTCAGTCTTCTTCGCAGCCGTTTTTTGGTGTCGTTAAGCAACTGGCGCTCTCTCCCAACGAGGGAGAAAACGCTTTGGGCGTGCGTCACGAGACCAAACACGAAGGAGACTAATTTTTCACGGCGAAAGCCAAAAATTAACTCTAATGTTAATAAATTTGTCATTACAGAGAGATTATGAAGTAAAATGCGCCGTTAATGAACACTGGCGGAAATGTACTCCGGCAGTCTTTGATGTACTACACATTACAGATTCATGTAAACGATCTCAATAACATTGGAAAAGAAAAGACAAAGGTGGTTTTAATTGCGTCTGGTGTATGTTTGCTTATTGAAAATCCATGCAGTTATCTATTTGAAAGCTGAATTATTTTACACCGATATATATATGCAGTTAGATTTCAAAATAATAACGAGAACTGTTGCCGACTCGGTGAACTGGAGAGAAAAAACCGGAAGCTAACTGATAATGCAACTTTCACATTTACATTTTAGACCTAACAAAAAATTCCTCCATAGTAATCAAAACTCGTTAATGATGCCTTCATTCGGAGAGGGTTTGATTAAATTCCATTCAAATCTCTACACTCTGGCAACGAAAATGTAAGCATAAAGCTGGCAGAACTTAGTATCTGTCGGGGATTATGCTGAACATGTTATTCCAATAACATTTCAACATAATTGTTCATCGACGACGCACTCAAACAAACGGGATGGTTTCTAGGATAAGAAAAGTCACTTACTTGAAAAGAGAACTACTGGGAGGAAAACCATCTTTTGAAAATTCATTAGTAGCTTGCTGAAGATAAATGTTTGCACGTGTATTGGCGCTGAGGCAGTTTCGGCGAACAGCGCTGAATGGGCAGCATTGTAATCCGCAAGCGGATCACAACAACCGGATTTCAAAGAAAGTTAAACATTAACGTTTTACCACGTCACGCAACATGCGTTGAAACCGTATTAAGCCATCAGCCCGTATTAAGCGGTCAGTTGTCAAAGTCCCGAATTTGTTCCCCCATAATCATCGTAAATTTCATCTCTATTAAGCGGTGTCGCGGTCACCTTGAGGTACGTCTTTCTGTTTTTCTTATCTTCCACCTGTAGTGAAGGAACGCCGAGAGCGGGACTACTCAAAAACTAAGTATAATTCTTCACCTTACTTTTAATCCACGTTTCTCTCCCAAAATCAAAGTGAGTTGTATTTTCGAGCAAGATTCTGTACATTACGTGGCCACTGAATCATGGCATTAAGTGGCGTAGTTTATCCCAAACCTTTGGAACCGCTTTTAGCGCCATTGTCCGTGCGTGACGACTGAATACAGGTTTGACTAATCTTCCCATTGCCCTACGGCTGGAACATGAAACTGTCGTCAAGGTGCAAGTTCGCCCCCAATCACCTTCGCGACTTCCCCCCCCTAAATTAACACGAGTTCGCACCAGTTCGCCGTACATCATTTAAATGCGTACATTGGTCATTGGCAATAACTTTTGGCTTCTAAAGGGAACGAGATGGATTCATATCCTTACAAACGTAGAGTTGATAAATCGTATGAGTGAAATATTTTATCATTCCTCATTATCCTATAACAAAAACAACAATGGACCACAGCACCCTTTTATTTGTATCCTGCACTTACATGTTTTGTTGACTTATGATTAACGAAAAAAAGAAGAGAGCACTAGCTGCCCCCCCCCCTCCCCCTTATCACTTTTCTGCTTGATGTTTGGGAGACATTTTCTCTTGCTCAGTCGTGGGACTTTAAGGGTTAACAGATTGAAGCTTCTTTATGTGATATGTGATATGTAGACTTAACATTCACAAGCACTAATTAATACTCATCAATTAATAAGGTTTAGAAGAAAACATTTAGGTTGTTAGCTCTCTATTTTCTATGCGTGATTGATCCAGTCTTCGCCTTTATCAACTGTCACGCTATAGAAATCTCGAGATTACAGTCTGCTTGTCAGCGGGAATGTAATGACAAGTCTCACGCAAGACTAAAATATCAGAGTGCTGAAATCAATTTTTGAAATATCACATTACCAGGCTAGATTAATTAGCATTAATACCCTGCTTTTTTTCTTCAAGGTTTAAGAAAGAGTTTTCCAGTGGTCTTTCTGCCTTCCAGCAAATCAAAAGCTTTCTTCGCCTCTGAAAGCTTAAATGTGGTGAAATCTTCCATTTTTATCTTTCCCTCTGTGATCCAATCAAAGACAGCGTTTGCTCTCCGAGACAGCTCCTCGGGCGTGGCTACATAGTCGACTATCTTTGGGTGAGAGAGAGTGTGTGACCCATTCCCATTTGAAAGAATAAAAGGGTCCAAAGATTCTGGGATGCCAGATGCGTAGCCGTAAAGGACCATGGTACCAAGTTTCTTAAGGCACTGAAAACCTGCAGAAAACCATGGTCTTATTCAAGATTTTAAATCAATCCGAACAAAATCACAAGAAAACTTTGTATATACCACGGAAAATTTATGTAATAAATATAACAACTGCGTAATACGTATATCAAAATGAGAGAACATTTGAGTTTAAGAACACAACTAAGGAGGATTTTAAGATAAAGCCTGCATGGTAATAAGTATTAATTATTATCATTAAGTATTAATTATTTATCAGTAATTTAATCGAGCCCATTGACCCATGCACTCAGCCGGAACTTATCCCGGATTCCAAAGAGCATGAAGCAACTAGGGGTATTACTACCCCCTCTAGATGGGATGCTATTACATTGCAAGGCTACCTCCCCCCCCGCCACATATTTCATCAGTCCCTGACCATTAGCCCATTGCATCAAAGCTTGAAAGGCATTCACTCTCAGACAGGATTAGTTTTTCGAATAAAAAAAGGTGGTAAAAGTTTGAGCGCGGTACTGAATGAGATGGTTAAAGATTTTTCTTTCTTGTAACGCAGGTGGCACAAAGGAAAAATTCTGAGAGCCCGTGAGGAATCTAACCTCAGACCTTCGGAGCATTGGATAGAGGGATCTGACAGTCTAAGGTTCGATTCATCATGGAGACTTCAAACGTCTTGGGAGAAGAGTATAACGCTATTTAGCTGACCTTATTTTCACAGCTTGCGTTTGTCGTGTTTTTCTCTCTTGTTTTGTCCTTTTTCACACTGCTGATCATCGTCTTGCTACACATATCCTTAATAAATTTACCTCTGTAAAAAACAACTTACCTTTGTAAAAGGTCTCCTTTCCAACCCCATCATAAATGACATTGACTCCAGTACCTCCCGTGATCCTGTTGACTTCCTGGACAAAGTCTTGATGAGAGTACAGAATAACTTCATCCGCTCCACAAGCCTTTGCCTTAACGGCTTTCTCTTCTGTGCTTGTTGTGCCAATGACATAAGCTCCTAAAATCCAACACAAGTGACAGGTCAGCGTCTCTAGCGAGTCTTGGTCAGCTCAGTCAAGTAGCAAAATACAGAAACACAGATTCCTTTTTCTGTTAATTTAAAAGTGATTCGAGCTAATGGTTTGGGTTAATCGGTCAGGCTTAACTGATTATCCTGTATGGGCTTGGCCGAGTTGTAATTCGCCCTTTGTGATTTCAATTGTAATTTCTGTTTATCTTTGTTATTAGCTAGTTCTTGATGGTGAACTGGTGATACATGGATACATTCTCAATTAAATTTTTTTAAGAAAACTTGAAACTTCTGTTGAATTTGCGTCATAAAAGTACATTGTCAATATTACTATTATTATCGTGATTGTTACAAATATTACCATAGCCTGTCTTAATTCACCTCTGGTAATATAACTGAGAACTGGGAAGTAATGTTAACTTGTTTGTTTAAAGGGTAGGAGGGGTGATTGTTTGGGGTGAGCTGAACGCTGTTAAATAACTCTAGTCTTAAACAAGACTTTTAATATTCAAAACTGTGCTTTTGCAAGAACTACAGGTACCAAGCAAAATAAAACTCTCAGAAACCAAAGCTACGCAAGTCGCAAATGGAGAAAGGGTTAGCGTAGTCTCCCACCAAAGGCACAGCATTCGTGATGTAGCCAGCAATCAGTCACTTGGTTTACACGGAAACCCAAAAGAAACAATTTTTTTACCTGCATTGTTAGCAACTTGACATATTAGGGATCCAGTCCCACCAGCGGCCGCATGGACCAACACCTTGTCACCAGGTCCCACGGGGAATACAGTGTGAACCATGAAATGAGCAGTGATACCCTGAATCAAACGGTTGTCGCCGCTTGTTCAAAAGAGATGTTTGATGGCACTTTGACAAGTCTTTCCACTGGAATAGCACTGTATTCTGCAAAACTTCCTAATAAAATTGCATGAGATGGAATTATTTTTAATCATGAATTCTTGAACTTAAGATTCCTACTTGAAATAGAGTCTGAAAACTTACATTCATGTAGGGTTCGAAGAAGTGTTGGCAGCTGGCTAAGAAACTGCTTTCTTTTATTTCTGAGCTGATTACTTTTTTATTTCATAACGTAAGTTGTTCACATCAAATGAATGTGGATAGCTTCCATTTTTCGCCACATACAACCGTGTATGGTCATCATGTAAATCAGGGGCGGATCCAGGATTTAGTCAAGTGAGGTTCGGAGAATTGTCCGAGGGCATGCTTACCCGGGAGATTTTGAAAATTAGCTCTTCGGAAACATGATTTCCAGCATTTTGAGGGCAAATTTTAGGGGTTCGACCGAACAACCCGAGCCACCCCTGGATCCACCCCAGTACATGTATACCCATAGGGCGATTCGGTCTCAACGTTCATGTTACGAGTGTATATGAGAATGTGTTAATCACTGAAACCTAGCATCTAATTTCTCCTTACAAAATTAACCCTGAATCAAACATTACGGTCACGGGATAAAGGAAAGGATCACCAACTTAAGGTTACTTCCCACCTTCGCGGGTGTCCTTCGGGAAAAAATTCGTACGCGCGCTAGTTTTAAGAAAACACTGATAAACTACATATACATCAAAAGAAAGCTTAAGAAATGCAGTTTACGACAAAAATATAATTTAGGCGATTTTTTCATTTAAGGAATATCAGGAGCCAGTATGGCGTGAAACGATCGAGGGTCCCGTTGTGATATTGAAACCTTTGGGGCTCCCCTTAGGGTACCCTTAATGACTTCAAGGGCACCTCGAACACGGGAAGCCATGTGCGCTTTAGACGAGTTGATAGGACAAGCAAGTTTCCTGTGAGTATTATTTCTGTATCTTGTATAATGGCCGAGGGAAACTCTCGAACGCCCGGTCCACTGCTCCTAGACGCGAATGCTGCTGAGAATTGGAGGAAATTTTTTATACAACTTGAGATTTTCCTTGTTGCGAGAGGAAAGGATAATAAAGCGGACAAGCTAAAAGTAAATTTGCTGTTACATTGTGCTGGGCCAGAAGCTATCGAAGAGTACAGTCACTTTGTGTTTACGGGTGAAGAAGACAAAGATTGCTATCAAGATGTCTGTCGCAAATTTGAAGAATTGTGCCAGGGTGCCAAGAATGTAATTTATGAGCGACTGGTGTTTAATCAGCGAAACCAGAAGGAAGGT